TGGCAATGTCATTTTTTGAAATGTCATGTTTTGAAGTTTGTAATTAAGTTTAAGTACTTTTTCAACTTGAAACACCTGTGGTCTTGGGATGGTGTTTGCATGTTGCATACTCTGCATGACATTTGCGCTTCTTAAAAAGATCGTGTTTTACGTGTGACAACATCGCAAAAGTAGATAAGTAGGCCATTAAAACGATTATCAGACTGAACTTGTAACAAGGGTATAATTTACAAATTGTAAGTAAACTTGAAAATAGGATCAATAGTTGTTGATAAACCTACGTAATTCCTTAAAAAAGCATTTCGGTTATTTTTAAATTAAAATACTAAACAATATATACTGACAGTGGCAAGTTCAAAGTGTCACATTTACTTTGTCGCACACTGTGCGTAAAAGTAAAACAAATGAACGCTAAAGAAAAGTGCTTCTTTTTGATCATCGCTTCTGCCCGCAAAATGGCACTTTTTGATTCATTCGAATAAAAATGTTATTAAAAGTTTGTTGGATCGGATCGGTTGCAAAATTATGCAGACCATTTTACCTCTGAACTATCTGCTTACTAGGTGATCAAGCACTGAAATCGTCAAGCGAAGAATCCAGTGAAGATGCAAGCCTCGAAGAAGTGGTGGGATCTGAAGAAAGTGGGGAATCGATATATGAGATTGAAGGAGTTGAGCAACAGGAACCTGATCCTGCAACCTAATCCAATATTCCAACTATAAATTGTTAGTAAATAACATAGAATGGGGAGGTGGAAAAGTAGTTAGTTAGTAACCGGTCAACCTTTACTTTCAGTCTCAATGTGTACACACTAAAGCTGCTTTACTTTGTTTTTACAGATTTTTTCGGTTTAGCTCAAAAAGACGTCTTGCTTAAACTACAAATTGTGTTTATAAACTGAACACTAAAATTTTAGTATCGCCAATTTCCAGATTGGCAAAAGGCTTGGTTCCCACTGCAAAAGATCGAAAGCCGATGACGACTTGAAAGAATTTGTCAAATTCCCTTTCTAAATGATCGGTTAACAAAGTAGCTAGAATTTCGTCATTATCAATGACTAAATAAAGTTTTGGAAGAACTCTTTTTATTTCGATCAGCTCAATTTCGGGAAAGAGGTCCGAAACGCTCAGTTCCTTTACCTGGAAAAAAATTGAGAATTTTCATTAATTTCGCTTAAAAATACATACATGCACTTTGCTGCTTATGACTTGAACCGTCTTCACATCGTCACTCGGCTTTTCTACCACAAAATTGTACCATACTGCACCAGTATAATCACCAAGAGACTCATCTGATGCCCCATTCGGAAACTTCGTTAAAAAGACGTGCCCTGGAGAGTTGATAACCTGGAATGACCGTCTGATGGTCAAATTGTGCGAATAATAACCGTTTACTTACATAACTCGGATTGACGACTGAAGAGTTCAACACAGTGCCTTTTCCATCGCAAACTTTGATAATCTGGGTTTTTGCACCAAATCCGGTTTTCCTGGCTGTATTCTCCCAGCTGTCCAGATATTGTTTTTGTATGTCCCTCTCCAAAGCAGCAACAGTGCGAAAGTTCTAAACAATAGAAAAATTTATTACTCGTATATGTATACCAGATGCGCCATAGTTAGATATCACGATTCTGAGATCTCATATTCTTTCGCACCATATTTATCATTTGATATTACCCATCTTACTTTATTGTTCGTTAAGCTCCAAGAGACAGAAATGGCTTCGTTTATCCGTGTAGTTGATTGTCGGTATTTTAAGTCCGATGTTACCAAAGATATGTTAAGATTATGTGCCTCTGCCATTTTAAGAAATGCTTCTAAAGGAGTCTCAGCAAGCCGTGGACTCTCCTAGAAAGACATTTCCCGTAGCCACAGTTATTTAATTTTATCAAAAAAAGTGTGAGATTTACCGGGTACTTACTATGGAAAAGTGCGTTGAAAGTAAAAAAATGGCCAAGACTGCATTCCGATTCGACATTTTGGCCAAACTATTAATCAAATAGCTGTATTTTGCTCTAAACGAAATAAGTGGAATAAAGTAATAGTGGTTGGTATGGGAGTGTGGAAGCGAATAAGTGGTTCAATTTATTGATTGAGATAAAAGGTCATCAGCCAGTAGATACCAATTTTTGATCTTCGATTAATATTGATTGAGGTCAGTTTTTATTGCAGTATGTCTAAAGTCATTGACCGCAAAATATGTATGTATATAAAATCTGTTACTCTGTCTCACATCAAATATGTAAATACTTGAATTATAATTGGCCTGATTGATGAAAGAAAGGCATTTTAAACTAAGCTTTTAACAAAAATTATTCGATTGAATTTAGAGATGATCTGCTTTCGAGAAATTTAGTTGCAATTTAATATTAATTTATTTATTATGTACACACAAAGAAAAACTGTTAGAGCAAAATCACAATTTAAAAAAAGGGCGTCTGTAGGCAAAAATTTATGATCTTCCAAAAATTCGGGTACTCGGCCTTAAATGCACTGGAACATTTGTGACTGAGAATATTTTGCTTGGAAAATCGTTTAAAATCTTCATAAATGCCAACTTTTTCAACGAATATTAACTTCTCAAACATTTTTTTTTCAAAAGGTTGCACACTGTGTTTGACTCGTTTTACTGCCATTTGAGCCAGGGGCGGATCCAGGTTTAAAGTCAGGGGGGGGGGGTTATGTAGAAAAAATACAGTCTTCGGATGTCTATGAAATTAGAAAAATGATCGTCGTTTTGTGCAAAGGTGGCGCAAGATTATTGCAAAATTTCATGTTTTCCGTCCCGTTTTGCATGTTTCTCGGAA